TAGGTGACGTCACATTACGTCACAGTGTTGAAATATAGGTAATCTGTCACAATAAGCTGTGTCGAAATAGCAATTCAATACTCCTGTGCAGGTACAGCCGTGTGCACCGGAACTGAAGACCCAGGAATACGCTTGTGTAATGTGTACAGGAGAAGGAGGAAGAGGGGAGGAGGAGGAAGAGTGGAGGAGGAGGAAGAGGGGAGGATGAGGAAGAGTGGAGGGGGAGGAAGAGGGGAGGAGGAGGAAGAGGGGAGGAGGAGGAAGAGGGGAGGAGGAGGTAGAGGGGATGAGGAAGAGGGGAGGATGAGGAAGAGGGGAGGATGAGGAAGAGTGGAGGAGGAGGAAGAGGGGAGGAGGAGGAAGAGTGGAGGAGGAGGAAGAGGGGAGGAGGAGGAAGAGGGGAGGAGGAGGAGGAGGAAGAGGGGAGGGGGCTATCTACCTGCACAGCCAATTAATTGAGCAGGAGGAGCAGAGTCATATACCACCCACTCTGCACAGCAGCTACTTTTGCAAGCCACTCTAAGATGATGCAGGAGGGAGTTGGTAAATATATAATATCATGATCAACTGATTGGGAAGGGAGGGGCCTGGGTGCGTTACCAACTAATTGTATAGGCGAGGATAGCTATCTAAACTACCGAAAATATTCGCCCCCACTCTTTCTAGAGCATCTAGCAGCATATTCTCCAGATTGTGTAACTCCTCCACTGCTCGTGCAGGGAGGAGTTGCCGCCGGTAAATGGCCTGCTCTGATCCTGCCATTATAATAGTCCATTATACCCTTCACTTGGCAGAGATTGCAAAACAATGGTTACGTCACAGCTGTATTAGCGAGCACGTGCAGCTACCAAGTCTACCTAATAACAGGGTGGGGCCGGGGGAGTGGTTGCTAAGCGGTGGTTGCTAGGGTGTGGTTAATAACGTGACCAATCAATTTAGGAGTAGAAGGTATGGTAGTGGTGAGGCTGGCCGCCGAACATGGTCATTATCAACTAATCGAGAGGGTGGATACTGGATATATCCGCTCTCCTCTCTCTGTGTGGCAATTAGTTGAATTTAGATGGCAAAAAGAATTACCCAATAACTTCTCCTCCTGAGTAGACCCACTTGTGCAATACCCCCCCCCCCCCCCCCCCCCCTTTTTCTCCTCCTAAGTGTACTCGCTTGTGCAATACTGTCACCCCCCTCTCTTCTACTCCGTAGACTAAATTGTGCAATACCCCCCTCTCTTTTCCTCATCAGTAGACTTGCTTGTGCAATGCTGTCTCTTCCCACGACCAAGATGTCTCAAGTTTTATATCCTTTCACAATCTATTGTATCTGTCAGAGCTATGTTCAATAACATCGACTGAACCGAGGATGGGAAATGGTTCTAAGCAGTAAGTAATAGTGATCTTAAAATTAAGGGAGGTAATAAACCCTTTATTTCTAGTTTTTTACCTCAATTCCATACCTAAACCTGAAATAAGAATCTTAAATCGCCCTTAGTCTATAGTTATACATTGTATTGTCATTATCAGAAATGACGAAAACATATGGCACCCCACTGTACATGCTGCAGTATAGTATTTGTTACTGACATTAGCACACGACGTCATGGGGGACTAACACATGGCCTGGGATAACAGACCCTTCTTGGTTTATAATTAATTGTTCAGTAAAATACTTTGTTAAGTTGATCAACCAAGAGCACAAAGTTCTCCTTAATCTCTATACTTCAACACTTATAAATTCCAACAGGTCGCAAAAAGGGAAAAAATGATCTTTAAAATAATTGTATGATCATTCCAATAAGCCCGGGTCCAGCTGAAACCTAAATAGCTAAATGCATGGTAGCTGCATAAACCTGCACTGCAAGTAACTTGTTAGCTTGTAGTCCTGACACTGGGTAATCACTTCCTCAGACGCGCTGCAACCAGCGCTGTAACGAGGGTAACCAGACGTTCTGTGACCAGGGTGACCAGACGCGCTGTAACCAGACGGGCTGCAACCAGGGTAAACAGACGCGCTGTAACGAGGGTAACCAGACGCTCTGTGACCAGGGTAACCAGACGCGCTGTAACCAGGGTAACCAGACGCTCTGTGACCAGGGTAACCAGACGCGCTGTAACCAGGGTAACCAGACGCTCTGTGACCAGGGTAACCAGACGCGCTGTAAGTTGTAACCAGGGTAACCAGACGCTCTGTGACCAGGGTAACCAGACGCTCTGTAACCAGGGTAACCAGACGCTCTGTGACCAGAGTTACCAGACGCGCTGTAACCAGGGTAACCAGACGCTCTGTAACCAGGGTAACCGTATCTAAGTGAAAAGACACGCTTATATCAGGTCTCAGGACAGTAAGGTTGCATGTTTGCTGGGTTAAAGTTGGGTTGCAGTTGTAGAAGGAGGATGACAAACCCGATTTGCTATTTAGCAGCGATCATCGGATATAATCATCAGATATTATCCGCATATTACGATATAATCCACATGAATCATGTCCAAACTTGTCTAATTCTGCTACTTGTGCAGACTTGTGCATATTTTCGGAGCTTTGCAGAGATACAAAAGCAGCTTTGATCCTACCGCAAAGTCCGTTTTACGTGTCTTTTTGTTTGTTTGTCCGTCCGTCTCTGTAATTCTCCGTGACATGTTCAACTATGGTTCGGTTTGGTGATGGACCGAATATACCCAATTAGATGTGATCAAATGTAGACAATGTGGAGAATACTTGGGATGTTTCCAGGAATATTTATTATTTATAGACGTGACCCCGGTGATCTTACAGTTGGATCCGACTTAGTGCGGCTTCTGCTAGTGAGTTGTGAGAGTTTCCATATTTACCAATATTTAGATCATACTTGAATTTCAGGGCCGCTTTAACCCGTGAGGGGCAGAAACGTCATATTCAGATAAAGATCATCCAGAGGTTCAGTAGTGACAGTTTCTTTGTGCTAAGTAAAACAGTCTTCAAGTCCAGCGAAAGGTACATGACACTATAGTAGGTACTGTGGTAGGTACCGCAGAAACATTATAATCATATCATTACTCTATTATGCATGATATTTCGGAATGTCTAACATGATCCCTCATACAAAATACAAAAGCCCAGTAGCTATAGTCTCCGAATAAACGACTCCGATAGACTGAGACATTTATTGACTAATCATGATGACGCTATTATTTTGCGTTTATTCTGCATTAAGATTAAATTATATCAGTTAAATTACATCAGTTAAATTATATCAGAGGTGTTTTTGCTACTATACTTAGAATATGATGCAGGAGGAGTGCAAAGATAGCTTTGGAAGGATAACATCATGAGGGGGCGGGGCGGGTAGAGACTGGACACCTAACATGGGTTCTATCCTAACTATACAAACAATAATATATAACAATAGTGGTGACCTGACTGTTAACTTGATAAGGAGGTAGTCAACTTAATAGTGGACTCACTAGCGTAACTTACTGCAGTAATTACAGTTCTAATTTTATGCAGTGATCGTTTCGCCCCGAGTACGAAATATAGGTGGTCTGTACTGCACTTGCCATGCTGGGGTTACTAATGATAGTCAAATGAGCAATAGCTTAAAACATTTAAAACTTTAGTTACGATGAAAATAAACATCACCACCGTGTTCACTGTCCTCCAAATAGTAAGTACCGTATATATATATATATATAATAGTATATTTCATCTCAATAGAGGGCAGTACTGGTGTTAGAAATATTTGTTTTTCGATTTTGACCAAATAATTATGAAAATGATACCCATTTTCCCCCTTCATCCCTCAACGTTTGGCCAAATGGGGTTGCGCCCCCCCCCCCTCCTCCAGCAATAATTGCCCTGCAAATTTTAATCCACTAATTTCCAGTATCCACGTGAACACAATAGTAGTAATACACCGGAAGAAGCACATGACAATACTGTCAATCTAGGCGAAAAGACTGAAATAATAATATCCTGGCTGGGTGCCAAGTTTAACATTGTGTTTGTGTGAATTATGGTGTGAGCTAGGGTTAGACATATTCCATAATGAACCCATTTGTTGGCTACCGTATTGTTATTGTTAGCTTAACAGTGTTAAAATAAAGTGTTATTCTGCTGCCCTAATATTCCCCGCGCTAATTGAGTACTGATTAGTCCCTGTGTTATTACTACTGGTTTGGTCACTGGTTTCTGGCTTCCACCCCACGTAAAACGGCGACTCATTTTCAATTAACGTCACAACAGTTTTAAAATTATTAATTACAGTTTTTAAATTATTAATTACCTTCTCTCTGATCCAGTCCTGAAGTTCTAATTAAAAGGCATTTATACACGTGGAAGGAAGCCAGCAAAGACAGTATAATATCCCAAATATTACAGGAATAAACACGATATATTCCTGGATTAGTTAATAAACAATTAGTGAGTCTAGTAGTTCAGAATTACCACGTGACATGTAGACACGTGGGCGCAGTGGAAGCCATTAACCCAGAATCTGAGAATAGCTGTAAATTTGTGGTGGATTGTTGATTGTTCCGCTAAGTAAAATGCAAGGTTGAATAGTTCATAATTAAGTCTTTAAATCTAGAATAAATATTTTACTGCATACAAAAAACATCAAAAGGGGAAACCGAAAGCACACTACTAATATAGATAATACATTATTAATTATATAAACTAAAAATTTCCAAATAAATTAAGCTAAGACTTTAAAAATAGCTATTGCAAAAACCATTATCAAAAAGTTGATCTCTATCAGTCTATCACGCTGCTGACAAAATATGGGATATAGTCATAATAATTTATATTTTATTTCTCAAAACTTGATATAATTTGCAATTCGCTGCACTTTAAGAGTCAACCAGGTGGGCGACTTATAGCAAATTAGATGTAACCGCTTGTTAGTAACTTTGCACAGACCGGTGTTATCAGCAATATCACATAATCAAATCAGAATACAAGACAATTCTATTATAACAGTGTGACCTATTTAAGTCATATCTAGGCCATATCTTGTCCTAATATAAATACTTTCACAAAATTAACTAAAAAATATCAAATATCTAGTTGAAATCTGACCTGGGTAGTTCACTCTAAAAGTCCTCAACAGTACCTAACATTTCTTCCAGGGTGATCACAGAATCTGCAGTTCTGGTGATCACGTGACAGAGACCACGTGGTCACGTGACTGAGATGATAAAGTGATTACATGTACTCGACCAGCTTCTTGACGGTCTCGTAGCAACGCCACTTGTCGGGCAGGTAGAAGGGCTCGTATATGTAGGCGAAGGGTGTGTCCCATCCTGTTACACGCTGTATGGGAGCTTCTAGATGGAGGAAACACTCTTCCTGAAATACGGTTCCCATGGTTACTAGATGGAGGAAACACTCATGCATTGTAAAGATATCCTCATATCCTCTATTCTTTTAATTCCTGATCGTTTCTTCTAAGAAATAGACGTACTGTGAAAACTGAGGATCACGCAGATACTTTCATCCTAGTAAAGCGAATCCAACACAATTAGTTCGTTCATGACTGTTTCAAAATAACTCTTTAAACAAATTACTTTCTGCTTTACCACTTTAAACGGTTTCACCACTTAACCTTGCCACTTTGCTATGAAACAAGTTTAATACCGAGCCACTATTTACCCTCACAACATATAATAATGATAATAGTCGGAACTGTCGCACAGGGTGACAGGGAAGTAACCAACATGTTGTTTGTTGGGGAAGGGCTCCTAAATGATTACGCTGATGAATTATTTGCACAGGGAGAACAAATCATTTATTATAAACACCTTTTAACTGACTAATATCTCCGGTAACTCCTACCGCCCACGCGGGTGTGGAGCTAAAGCACTCAAGCAGCAGAGACTTAGAGACTAGCTGCATCTTAATACGAACCTAGCAGGAAAGTCTTCTTTTAGCTGTGTTATTGCCAGATCTTATTCAGCTTTATCGAGGAAATTTGTCGGATGAGCTAATTTACACGAACGTTGAACAATGACCATGATATTGCCCGTGATATTGCAAGCAGGTCGCTGGAGTGAGGAGGGTATCTTTAAGTCACTGTCACGTGATGTAATGGATCTTAATGCTATTTCGGGTAAATTTTTCTGACTAATTTACTCCACCCTTAAACTGGACAGAGGAGGAGTTGACAACTCCCACACCTCCATTATAAAATAAGAGAACGACCCTCGTCACTGCCCACTCAACCACTCAAACAGTGATGTTCAGGATACGACCTGACATCTTGTCTTTAATACTGCAAAATAACATACTATGAGGAGGAACGAGAGGGAGAAAGAGAGAGAGAGAGAATCAGAAAGAGAGAGAGAGAGAGAGAGAGAGAGAGAGAGAGAGAGAGAGAGAGAGAGAGAGAGAGAGAGAGAGAGAGAGAGAGAGAGAGAGAGAGAGATAGAGAGAGAGAGAGAGGAAGAGAGGGAGAGGAAGAGGAGGAGGAAGAGAGGAAGAGGGGGAGAATGAGAGAGAATCAGAAAGAGAGAGAGAGGTAGAGGAGGGAGAGAGGAGGAGGGAGAGAGGGAGAGAGGGAGAGGGGGATGGGTATGGAGAGGGGGAGGCCGGGAGGGGAGGGATGGATGGAGACATGGAGAGGGGGAGAGGGAGAGAGGGAGATGGGTATGGAGAGGCTGAGTTCTGGTTAGAGGTTTCTCATGTTCCGGATACCATCTTATTTATCCTGCAAGTTAGCATAGCTGCCATTTTGGCAGATTATAGAGTTTGGGGTCTTGTTCAAGATTTAAAGAGCTTGAACCATGATTAAATGTCAGATCTGCCAGTTGCATAAATTGTGGACAGAAACATGTCTGAAAGTAATATTATGTGCCTAATTAGCCGTGCAGCTGATGTCTCTGTTGTAGACAACTCCCACACACTACAAAGTAGGAGACTTGGGCGTCTTCTGGCTCCTGGAGGGGAGTTCTCCTCTGGAGATCAAGTACTGCCCACTCAAGCACTCTGATGCTCTGGAGACACGTCTTGATAACTGTATTACAACAGCTGCTGTATTGAATGTCATGGCTTGATTTTGATTAAATATCCCGGATTATACTGTATATTTATATGCACTGATCTCTACAAACAGTATCCGGCGTTTGGAGCAGAGTGTCTAATCAGCGGCTGTCTCTGTTGGACAACTCCCACCGCCCACACTATTCAGCACCAGGAGTTAAATTCTTCTGATCTTCCGGAGACATCTTAGATTCTTAGATGGTATTTATTTATTAAATACTGCACTTAAACAGCCGCCGTATTGAAATATCCACCAGAACTTGGTTCGTGATTAAATCTACGGGGTGGTTATTGAGGGTTATTGAGGGATATCTGCAAGAGTTGCACTTCATAATGCTAGAGATGTCTGGAGGTTAAGTGATTAAACAGTAAACAGGTAGGCTGCTGTCTCTGGTGGAGATATCTTTACCATCTAGTGATCAGTTGACTCTTGAGCTGTCACCTTCAGGGGGGAGGGGGGTGGAGTGGGTTTGTCGCGAGTGGAGGTGAGAGTGGGGTGGGGTGGGGAAGTGGGGTGGGGAAGTGGGGTGGAGGGGACCAAAGTTCTAACTCTCCAACACGGTGTATTTACACGGACATGTTTAGAATTAAATTTAAACAATTAATGTTCCCCAGGAGTCCCGGTTTGACTTGTTGTGCTGTATTGGCAGTAGAATGGCTAATAAAAGTAGGGTGAAAGTGTACTGTACATTGTTAGAAACTGCAATGATATGTAACAACATTCCAATATATCAACCCAATGTCTAACTAAGCTAGTAATTATTATGTTAATTGAGAATCATACTGTCACTGCTAATACCATATAAGTCGTGATCAGTTACAAACTATTATCAACTCCTCCCGACTTTGCTTTTAACTTATTCAGGTGTGATTCAAGTCTTTGAAATCAAACTACGTCTTATTAAATAGTGAGGAGGTGGGTCAAGGCAACTAAATTAGCCACTACTAAACAAATAGTAGTAGTACAGCTTATAGCACACTACAGATATGAAGAATTCAGTTTAGACAGACAGCATCTGTAGTACATACCAGTAGTACATACCAGTAGTACATACCAGTAGTACATACCAGTAGTACATAACAGTAGTACATACCAGTAGTACATACCAGTAGTACATACCAGATACCGCCCATCAGGGACTAGACTCCTCAGAACTCATTTAAAGCCCTGTAAAATAGGTATAGTAGTAGGAGACAGTAAATACCTGTAATCTGGCTGCAATCTCAGCTCCGAATCCCTGTGTGAGAGGAGCTTCGTGGACCACCATGCACTTGCCTGTCTTTTTAACCGACTGAAATTAAAAAGTTAATAAACTTCACATCCTGTTCAGTGTTCAGTTCCTCGATATTATGTTTCCAGCTTAAATTTGTAATTTAACTTTTTTAAAGAAGCAATATCACTAAGACGGGACAATATGCTGAGATATTAATAAGTTAATATGAGATGTCTCGATTAAAAGCTGCTTGTATTTTGCAGCTGCCGGTTTTACCCCCACTTAAGGCTTAATACCTGCCAGGACCAGTTTTGCAGTTCAAAACTTCAATTTAAAATATAAGGTATCTCGCAGTAATGATTGATATTGTAATAATGTGTCATAATTATATATCTATAAAAGTTGGTTACATTTAACATGACCATGGGGTCTGAGTCGGAAAAACATTAACGTTCAGAGACCATAATACAGTCACCATGGTTAGTGGTTACCATGGTTACCACCACCATGGTTACTAGATGGTTACATAAAAGATTTTAACAATGGATTATTATTCTCACGGTGATTTTCCATACCATCAACCCTACGCAATTATACTAATTGCATATTAAACTGTGCCAGTAACAATGTTTAAATAGTTAATAGTTAATATGGCGGGACACTGCATCCGACATCCTGAGCTACTTGCCAGTGATTTAGTCTTATGGGAACCTACGCACGGTAGAGCACAGCAAGGCCGACCAAGACAAAGCTACTTGTCTATGTTACTGAAGGAAGTTGGGACAAACTCTAAAGAGGAACTGCGAACCCTGATGCGGGACAGGGATATATGGAGGGGGTTTTCTGGCGTAGATCGGACTTAGCTCCGACATAGTAGTAGTAGTAGTAATAGTTAATATGGCGTATTGTCTTGCGGCCAATAATAACGTTTAATACAGCGTACTCTTGGAGTCTTCAGCCGATATTAATAGGCAGAGAAAACTGCAAAAAAAGGTGAATTGTCTCAGTTGTCAGTTTTCAACTCAAATACCTCCGTAAATGTTGCCATTATCTCTCTAAACATTGCCCCATTTGTCAGAGATAAAGGTGACAAGTATGTAACATACTGCTCAGCACCCTCTACAATAACCTCCCCCTAATAGCCTAAAGTTACTAAATCTCAGGGAGCCCTATCCGGAAGAGAACAGCAAGTGTAGAGTTGGCTTTTGTGGGTGTCGCCGCTCAGACGCCTCTCATCTCCCGGGACACAATGCTGTGACCTACAAGCAGCACAGCTCATAATACTACAGCAGGGCGAGATGTTAGATGGTGTGTTGAAACAAACAACAAACTGATACATAGCTACCAGCTATAATACTGTTATACCAGCTGTACTATACAAGTTACAACTCTGGTAACTGGAACAACTCTTCTTTTAGACGCCTCTCATCTCCTGAGATAGATATCAACTATAGTACGTACTGCAGCAGGGTGAAATGTTACGACATGACTGATACAATATAGCGGTACACGCAACACGCACTGTAGTTGGACTCTGTAGAACAACAGGACTCTAGTTCAACATATAATACACGGTCGCGCCTCGCGGTAGTTCGACAAGACTAGGTATAATCATACATATCTACCAGCTATAATACTGTTATACTAGCTGTACTATACGACAGACCCCTCTGTTACTTATCTGGTAACTGGCTACCAACAACTCTTCTTTTAGACGGTTGGTCTTGATGGATTGCTAATTAGTTATAAACAGATAATTGAAGGATGAGCAATAATCTATGGTTTTCATTCCAAAATTTGCAAATAAATTTTAAAACTCTGAAACGTGGAAGGCTCATGTTCAGTTGGATACTAAAACGGCTCTCTGTAAGCTCCCCAAGAGTTAAACTCTAAAATGGAGCCGATGCAAACATTAAATTTATTCTAGCCCAAAAACATTTCCATTTTCGGCATCTCCATCATGGTTGAGTTAACCCTGGGGCCTGGTAACCACAGTTGGGGTTTCGTTGTGGAATCTAACACCTGAAATCAAGAACTTTTGACACAATAAACCTGGAACAAGATGTGGTGATTACTTTAGAACATCTCGCCTCATAAAGCATGTGAGAATGAGTGTGAAGCTGCAACAGTGTGCGACCACACTCTCCCCTCATATTTGCCGGAGAAGAGCCCAAAATAGGACTTTAATCTTGAATTATTAGGATTAGGTCCCCTTCCCTCGTCACTATATTGTGTTAGTCATGTTACTAAAAGTTGCTATTTCCGAGCAATTGTACTCTAGAGATGAGCTCTAGAGCTAGGTTGGTGAATTGAGCTACTTTGAGAGCAGCAGCTTTATTGTGTGGGCACATAGAGGGAACTAGAGGGATCTAGAGGGAACTAGAGGGAACTAAAGGGAACAAGAGGGAACTAGAGGGAATTAGAGGGAACTAGAGGGAACTAAAGGGAATTAGAGGGAACTAGAGGGAACTAGAGGGAACTAAAAGGAACTAGAGGGAATTAGAGGGAACTAAAGGGAACTAGAGGAAACTAAAGGGAACTAGAGGGAACAAGAGAAGGGACAGGTGATCAAACACTCTCCTGTAGTACCAGTACAGTGTACACTGAACAATGTACAATGTACACTGTACAGGAGAGTGCAATAGAGGTACATTATACGTCATGGAGCGACCTCGTTTTTGAGTCTTTTCCAATTTATCAGAAAGATTTGTGTGCCAGTATATCAGGGGTTGGCTGTTTTTACATTTCCCAGACGAGCAAAGAAACATTTCTGAGCTATATAACGTCCCTCAAACTCTCTTAACAGCTTCGAAGGGGCCCCTATGAACTACGCGTTTCTGCTACTTTTAAATATCACTTATAAATGCACAAATTTTATCTCTGCTTCTAACCAACCATATGAATCTTATTCTCTGGGCGTTTTTAACGACTTCCCCGATCAGTTATGGTATGTTATTTGATTTAAATAACCAGGATGATGATTTGTGATTTTTAGGCACACAATACCGACAAAGACCTATACTAAGAGTTCTTATAAACTCGATATAGTTATTATGTATATAAGTATACTAAGCAGACTGGAGACCGTACAGGAATCATGATATGTCTTAGTTTTGAGGGCCGTCAGATCTGAAGTCAATCTCTTATAACAACTCAATATAATTAAGTAGCCTAATTCTAAGTTTTCTCTTTGAAATCCTACATTTCTGTCCCGACAAACAGACAAATCGTTATGATATACCGCTTCAAATCTTACAGCAGCCACCAATACCTCAATCAGTATTATAAAGTTATCATACAGTTTAGAGTTGCTAGCCTTGTCCTGACAGAGACAGAAGGCTGCACATCATGAGACAAGTGGAAAACAAACAAACGAATAGATTTCAAGCTCGTAAAGGATCGTCGCTTGAGATCGGAGATTTAAAAACTCTAGTTCGAATATCTCTTGTTGAATTTTAGTACGTGTCGAACTTGAATCCAGGTAGCCCACTTTAGTTCGACAGAGTAGAACCTTAGGGTTTGTCGAACTACAGTACATGTCGAACTTGAGTACGTGTCGAACTTGAGCACTTGTACCGTCTGATTCTTGATTTCTAATGAACTACGCTGCGAAGTCACAGCTGAACAGTTTATATATACAACCAATACTCCAACTTGTATAGAATGAAGTCCAAGGTATATTGTTTTTACATGATATGTAAATATCCTTCTCAAAAGTAGTAGAATTTTATAATCTGATATCCTATTGGTTTAGCGCCTAATTCAGTAAAAATATTTCCGGGGGCTGCGGCCTCAGCTCGCGGCATTCCACTCGGAGCCGGCGCTTCCCGCCGATTACTCGCCTACCCCTTTCAAAAACCCTGCGCACGCTCCTGAAGTCCATACAAGTTATATTGTTGCTACATGGTATCTAAATATCTGCAAGTCACGTCCAAGCAACATACTTATTTGGCGAACATCTTTAAAACGAAATAATGTCTTTATTCGCATTTCATCTCCAATGAACGTACTCAAATATAATTTCTATATTTGCTCACATCTCATATGAAAATGCTCAAATCTAATGTCTATAAATTTAGCTCACCTCTCATATGAAAATGCTCAAATCTAATGTCCATATTTGCTCACCTCTCATTTTTAAAGTGCTCTATAAAAAGTGTCTTGCAGCCAAATATCCAAAAAAGCAATCTCTAAGCCTCATGATCACTAATTGTAAGTTAGTACACATTAATAGCTCTGTTTCTTCAATTATTATTCATGCTTTTAGCGAGATTGTAGACATAGTATGTAAATCTAATATACTATATTATATCAAAATGTAACACTGTAATATACCTGTGTTTGGTAAACAAGGATCTAAAGCTTTCTATTAAAATTTTCAAGCTTTTAGCACACTATAGTGTATCCAGACAGGGTGACAATGAGCACGTGCGTGGCGACAATGCGCACGTGCGCGGTGACAAAGTGCACGTGCGTTACAATATGATGACGTCATCCATTAGTTGAAAGGTCGGTTGAAAAGTAGCTTGAATAGTGAGATTACAACTCCTTATTTGGGCAATATAAGCTATTGATTTTTCTTAAACCGTGTTATACTCGGTTAATTTTCAACAGGATGTTCCGACTGAACACACAACATGTTTTGACCAAATAAAGGTATTGGGTATTGTTCAATCTTTCTTTCAACCACTTTTCCACCCGACCTTTCGACCGCCACTGTATATTCAGGAGAGATCAGGGGATACCTCTCACTAACCTTCTCAATTGTAGCTGAGTCGTAAGGCATGATAGTCTGCAGGTCAATAACCTCACAGTTCACCCCCATCTGCTCGTGCGCCATCTGCGCGACTTCAAGTAGCACGTGCACAACAGTCCCCCATCCTATCATGGTCACGTCCGTACCTGGAATATAACAATGTTACTGATCTAGTTTGAACTGATCTAGTTTAAACTGATCTAGTTTGAACTGATCTAGTTTGATCTGGTCTAGTTTGATCGTGTCTAGTTTGAATCTAGTAATACGATCCAAAAGAGTTTGCCTGATGTTTCAGCAGAGAGTACGTGATTTTGAATGATGTAAAATTGGAGTCCCACAAGATCTTGACACACCAACTTGTCAATCACACCGTACATTACTAACACTACTTTCACACTGGATTAATGATGTAACCCCACTTGTAGCAGTGCTAGAGCTGCGTGCTTCTATCACTACAAACCACTATCACATAATGACCGGTTAGCTGTTCACATAGACTACTTCCATCTAGTAAAGATCTAGATCTTCTGCTAATGGGATCTTCTAGATGATTCCAGCATCTTGTACCTGATCTCAAGTTAAGGGACCCTTAGAAGATGTGGTCATGTTCGTGATAATGTGTATTGTCATGATCTTGTTATCTTAATACAGGTGGTGGATTATAAGTTAAGATATGTCCCCTGTCCCTCCCTCAGATTATTAACAGGTACACACTGTTCACTGGTGCTTTCACCAATACCTTCACTGGTGCTTCCACCAATACCTTAACTGGTGCTTCCACCAATACCTTCACTGGTGCCTTCACCAATACCTTCACTGGTGCCTTCACCAATACCTTCACTGGTGCTTCCACCAATACCTTCACTGGTGCCTTCACCAATACCTTCACTGGTGCCTTCACCAATACCTTCACTGGTGCCTTCACCAATACCTTCACTGGTGCTTCCACCAATACCTTCACTGGTGCCTTCACCAATACCTTCACTGGTGCCTTCACCAATACCTTCACTGGTGCCTTCACCAATACCTTCACTGGTGCTTCCACCAATACCTTCACTGGTGCCTTCACCAATACCTTCACTGGTGCCTTCACCAATACCTTCACTGGTGCTTCCACCAATACCTTCACTGGTGCTTCCACCAATACCTTCAGTATATTAATATGAGAATATGAGGAGTAAAAATAAGAGAATTATTTCGTTTTAGTTGGATCTTTAAATTCGGGAAATAATTCTGCTGTGTGGTAATTCAATTGTAGAGTGACGCTTTTGCTAAATTAAAATTATCCCATAATAACTATTATTAAACCGGATATAACACGAAACTAATAATGGGGTATTGTTTTCATAAAAACGGATTGAGAGTGGTAATCCTGCTTACCACCAATCTTTACTGCAAGAATATTAATAATAATAATGAGGCCAAAATCCAAAGGTATGAATTCTAATTTTAATACAATACAGTGTTTATTAATATATTATTATAGCAATTGTATGTCTGAGATTAACATCTTTCTACGGTCCTTGCTCCTTATGCAATAAAAAAATATCATATTCTGATGTATTATTCGCCCTGTTTTATCAATATCATTATTAAAGTCACTGAGACCCGATTCAGGAACAATTCAATGCAGTATCTACTGCATAAAATAACCAAATTTATGGTTATTACAAACCAAATGGATGGACTAAAACCAAATGGGCTAAGACATGTGAACGCCAGGTGACACCTGAATGTGACACCAAAGGACATGTGACGTCACAGGACATTATATTTATAAAATAATTCTTTACAGGAATCAAGGAGTTTACATCAGTACAAGCCACTCGGAGCCGTCCCTTTAGCTATATATCATGATTAATTTATGTTATAATATTGAATTATATACAGAGAGCTCTAATGACTTTTAACTAGTGGATTTTAGAGCCAATAGGGCTCAAACTGGAGGTAGTACACAATGCTACCTTTAAAACAAAGCAGCTGGGGACTGGGGAGCCAATCGACAAAATCAGGGCTGATTATGTTTATTATGTTTATTGCGAGCATTTAATACGTAAATTAGTGTCTCTATGTATGTGTCTCTGTCATAGGATGTAATGCAAGGTGACACTAGTACGTGTCTAAAATAGAAATATTCGTTAGATTACCTACTTATATTAGTAGTATTATATTAGTAATATTACAAGGTAGCATCAAATTTCTAATTCCTGACAAGAAATCCCACTCTTATTTTCTTCTCAAAAATCTCTCATACCACATTATGTATTATCGCTAAGTTATTAGTTGAACTAATACGTCATAATATATTACTAATATATAACTGTCTTAATATTAGCGTCAGTTCCACCGATTATAATTAAGCCCCTTCTTTTTGTTCTTTTTAGTCTAGAAGATCAGTGAGATACGACAGTGTAATTAACAGCGCACTAATCGGGGCGACCAGCTTGGATCTGGCTGGAGGGGGGGGGGGGGGTTGTAGTCCCCTGGTAAGCTAGTATAACACACCTGGGGGGGGGTGTAGTCCCCTGGTAAGCTAGTATAACACACCTGGGGGGGGGGGGTTTGTAGTCCCCTAGTTAGCTAGTATAACACACCTGGGGGGGGGGGGGGGTTTATAGTCCCCTAGTAAGCTAGTATAACACACCTGTGTTTCATTTGTTAATGTTCTGAGAAATCTTTTATAATAAGCGTGTAGATATTAACGTTAAGATCTAATAGATGTGAATGATGAACCTGGAAGAACAATGTTTTGTGTGAGGGTGGGGTCACAATGTTCTAATAACAACACGTTGTTATTGTCTACCTAGGAGTGTTATGATCACTATTTTAGTCTATACAATGTAGAGTTATATACTAGTCTATACTACAGTTTCGGCACTGTTTACATGATATTGTTAATGGTAATGGAGATGAGCTAGAGGGCGGGGCAAGAGGGCAAAGAGATAGAAGGGGGGGGGGGGCAGCAGGGGGGGGGCTATTAAATTGTTGTTAAATTTTAGGATATGACAATTTGAACGTCGAATCGTTTTATGAAATGCAACCAAATAGTAGTTATTACCGTATATATACTAAATTTTTGTTAATATTAAGGCTAATTAATTATGACCTTCCTTGTTTATTTTAATACGAATTAATCAATATCGATTAATTTTGAATGTTTATTCAAAAAAAACTTAAAAAATTTGATAATATTGCTGTGTCAACATTTAAAAAGTTAACTAATTTACAGTTAAAACTTAAAATCCTAAAGAAGACCCCCCTCTTCCTATCACCACTGTTAACAATTTACATGGTATTGTCTACGCTTCTAAAGATAATATAACCACAACAAAAGGTGTATTATAAAGGAGTATTGTGCTCGGTGCGTTTGTCTGTAAACACTTCTCTTTGTGTTTGGCTTCCTGGTTCAGGAGTTCTAATGTCTGTGTGTTCATAACACAACATTAATTATATTATATAATATACAAGTTCTAGATAACAGAATATATTGTAAACACAACGCTAATCTTTCTCTCAAAAACAGAATTATAAGGCTTGCATTATGTGTGTGCCAATTTGCTCTGTCAAAAGCGATATTTCTACATTAATTTAACTATTTATCTTAATTAAACACAGCTTGTTAGCGCTAATTGAAAGCTGAGGTCATGTGCTAAATGATCGACTAATTACATGTGCTGCAATTTACTACTTACCATCATAATGAGTGATCATTCATAACACGTCTTTGGCATTGCAATAAAATTAGAAAGAATTATATGATGCATATTGTACATTTAACCAGGTTAACTATGAATAGAAGCTGCCTTTTACCATGTGCAAAATGCCACACCCCTGACAGCTAAATTATACTCCTCACCGAGTCAATATGTTTCAGGTCTGTCCATTAAACCCTTTACGGGAATTTTGGGATTCAAGAACTTATTGGATTTCAAGCCATCGATGCAAATATTCTTCAGGTTGGAAAAAATAAAATGACATAACCGAGGTTTTCTACTCTACACAAGATCTGCCCCAGATAAATTGTACAGCTAAAACTACTTCACATTAAATTTATATATCATGCCCATTTATTACCTTTGCTTATCAGTCACAAAATGTTCATTAAATCAGTGAGTGGGAGGAAGTAGACTCTTTTTGCTAATTACGATGAATAGTGACGATTTTATTGCAGCTTAATGCACCCCATAACACGCACGCAACTAATGTCACAAACCCAGTTGAGGGTTACCTAGCAACAAGAGTTGAGGGAGAGGATGTGAGAATTTAAGTTTCACTCATCTTGACAAGTCAAAATGTAGAATCTTATAACTTTTTATTGTAGATACCAAGATAAAGAATACCAATTAATAACAATTTTAGATTAAGAAGAATATAATCTGTATAATGGTTAACGATGTTATCTCTACTAATATAATATTATATAATATCCAACTCACCCTCTCTGACGACCTCTGCTGTGGACAGGGGGAGCGTGTAATCATTGACAGGAACTTCCTCAGCTGAAATTAATACGGTCTCTTAAATATCAATACTCTCTGAGAGTCAATACTGCAAAATAATCGCATTCTCGAAACTAACTTTAATTTGACAAAATATGGGACGTTTAATATAAAGATTTGTCATTTAAAGTTGATTATATAGTAACTAGGAAATGTTTTGTATAAGTAACTAGGAAATAATTTTGATTGTAGTTTAGAAACCTAAAACGGTCACCATGGCAACCAGGAAACATTTGTTATGGTTATTGTAATATTCATCTGTCTCCTGCAGTGGATATGTGGACTACTAATATCTAAAGAGCAGGTTTATGAAGGACTGTTAATCCTGTTCGCAGAACGGGAATATGGGAATGTTTTGATCTGTAGATTCCAAAACTCCAAAAAGCTCCCAATGCCCCACTTGTTAGATAACATGACAACATAATTCCACATACCTGTCCCACCAGTTTCACATTGATTACCAATACCAATACCAACAATTAACAGATAATTACCCTACCAATTAATTAATTACATTAATTATATTACACTGCTCCGTTTGTAAATTTTCACAGAACTACCCCAGAAACCAGGTAGCAACAGTACAGTGTATTGTATTGTTCACACTGTATATAATATTAGTACTATTCTTCTCACTACCACACAGAAAACAATATTCACAATATTATTAGGGAAGCTTGCTTCTCTCTCCCCTCATTGCATTATTTGTCCAAGCATACCCGATTGGGCGCTGAGCAGGGCCTTGCTTCTTTTCATTATGGCCGTGTTAATTTCACATTCTCTAGAATGGTGCTTATAGAATTGAACCCCGGGTATTCTAACCGGGGGTTGGGTACGATTAATGACTAATATTTTACCGTTATATTATATAAACTGCCGATAGGGGAATTCAGCTATTCATAATATTATTTATGGAAATAATATGATAAAGCGAGTATTATTGAAACTTTATTCTAAGTATTGAATAACTTACATAACTCTTAATACTAATGATAAATTCAGCTATGTTAAGAAATCTGCCAATTCTCTCATTGTGGTCACTAAATTTCTACTTCTCTAGCCCACCTTAAATAATAAAACTTCTTAAAAGAAATACAACTTCTTTGTTCTCCGATCTACATCCCGAACGTTCCAGAACTCCAGAAATTTAAATTGAGTACAGTAACTGATAAGCAGGGAACATTATATTCGAATTATAATTTTGACACATAATGTAGTGTGAAGTACTGGATAGTCAGGTATTAGAGCTGCTGTAAATACGTGCTACTTATCTTACGTAACACAGAGAACACACTAGAATTACTACGAAGGTTGGATAAACTCAGTTAAGGCCTGTTCCTTCGCTTAAAATATCCCAAATATGGGATTGTCCCCCCGAATATGTATCATAGGGATGGTTCGCACATTATTGTATACGTAGTATTTGCACGGTCCTTAACTTGTTCTGGTCTTGTGATAATAGGACTAACTGAATGGTGACCAAAAGAAAAAGTGAACTTGTTGAAACAGATATTACAGCACACGTGCACGGATTACTGGCTTCTTAACATTTGCACGTGCACAAATTAAAAGTCTCTCGTTCATTGATCTCAGCCCTTATGTTTAACGAGTACATACCACAAACCTAAGTAGGTACTGACATAAACTGACACTGACTGACAACCAAGTGTTACAACCTATAAAGATTATTACAACATATAAAGACTATTACAACCTATAAAGATTATTACAACATATAAAGACTATTACAACCTATAAAGATTATTACAACATATAAAGACTATTACAACCTATAAAGACTATTACAACCTTTAAAGACTATTACAACCTATAAAGACTATTACAACCTATAAAGACTATTACAAACTATAACGACTATTACAACCTATAAAGACTATTACAACCTATAAAGACTATTACAACCTATAAAGACTATTACAACCTGTAAAGACTATTACAACCTATAAAGACTATTACAACCTATAAAGACTATTACAACCTATAAAGACTATTACAACCTATAAAGACTATTACAACCTATAAAGATTATTACAAACTATAAAGATTATTACAACCTAAAAAGATTATTACAACTTATAAAGACTATTACAACCTATAAATAACTATTATAACCTATAAAGACTTTAAGTTATAACACTCTAAGATAAAGACCTGATCTTGTCTTCTTCACTAAATCCCCCCCCCCCCCCCCCCCGCCCCCAGTTTAGAATTAGTACACTTCACACATTGTTTTACTTGCTTGTGAGGGATAAATACTGATACATTAGGCCCAACGAGGGGTTTTTAGAGGGGCAAGGATGAGGGGCAGGTTGGTCACTTTGGTCTGGTTCGCCCCCCCCCCCCCCCCCAAGTTTAGTACACATTACCTGCCATCCTGTAGAGAATCTTGGGTTCGAAGAAAATACAGGGGTTCTGATCTCGGATGCAGGACAGGAGCAGTCCCTTGGCTTGGGTTGGGCCCCTCGGTATCACTACCTGTAAACAATACTGTTAACCTACGCTGATTATATTCATTATATCGGACCTAAGTTCTATATTCTGGTTGTTTCATCGTGAGAAATGGACAGGGAAAAACTGTAGATTCTATATCAGAATATTAATAATTATTGAATATCATTATGTAAATTGAAGTAATATTATATGATTAATGTGAATATGTCGTAAGTTTCACGACTCAGCTTTTTAGTGTGCTATGACGTAATGACGAGAGAAAACTAAAACTATTTCTTGGGAATTGGTATGTTATAACTAAGAGATAAGTTAGTTAAATATTATGAGTTATTATTATTGGTCTGTTGAAACGTTAATAAATTCGAGAACGGCACCTATTCAGTAACAAAGTAATGATAATTAACGTATTTTTTTCGTTTTAAACAATTTTATAAGCATTTAAAAGTCAACGGGCAAGCTCCCGAAATCTACTTTTCAAATATCAATTTCATGTTGAGCCGAAGCATTTCAAAATCTTACATATTAAATATTCATGACATTAAAAGGTTCTGTAACGTCTGCCCAGAAACATTGTAGAATCCGATTACCTTCTAACTCGCCACCATAGGATTTAATATGAAATTACCTTGCCCATAGATCGTGTTGTAATTCCTGTCGTGGGTACAGCGACTGGTTAAATGACAGTTATTAATGAAGTTGCTGTTACATTGTCTTGTTGCTAAAGTGGTTGCACTGGATTCAGCTGGTTATTTGAATGACGGAACACTTAATTTGCGGGCGATGCAGAAATAAATTATTTATGAACGTTATCGCGTAATATAATTTGTATTCGACACATATGCACGCTCAATTCTTGATTTTTTAACTTTGTGTTAATACGGCCCTGATAAAAATTAAGGCCAAATACTTTTAAAAACTTCATCACATAGTTTCTTAAATCTATTTTCAAAAATACAACAAATCAAATCAGGGAATTTCAGATTAACAATCATTGCGACCTGGATTTAAATTTTGCACAATCGAGCCGCTCGAGAGAGCTGAGTTATCTTTTTACAGAGAAAAATATTCTTATCTTAGGGGTTGTCTTAATCTCCATGTTATTAAGTCGCCACGGTGACGCACGTATTCTATAAAAATTAAAAGGGGTAAAAGATGTTTATATGGTGTTTTCCATAACGCGTCGTTGCACGTGCAAATATAATTTCCAACTCTTGGTAACTATGATCAATGAATTAGGATTCATCATAATACCACAATCGTACTATGATAATGGTATAAAAAACCAACAAAAGAACCTAACTATGATCAGCTGCTGAAGCTTCTTTCGAGACGAGAATATGCTGCACATCTTTTTATCAATTAGGATTCATTATCCTACAATCATACTATAATAATGGTATTAAGAACCAACAAAAGAGCATCTCACATCATGTATCATTTCACACTTGAGATGTTGTGCAAATATAGTTTCCAACTCTTGGTAACTATGATCAATAAATTAGGATTCATCATGATACCACAATCATACTATAATAATGGTATTAAGAACCAACAAAATAGCATCTCACATCATATATCATTTCACACTTGAGATGTTTTGCAAATATAGTTTCCAACTCTTGGTAACTATGATCAATAAATTAGGATTCATCATGATACCACAATCGTACTATGATAATGGTATAAAAAACCAACAAAAGAACCTAACTATGATCAGCTGCTGAACCTTCTTTCGTGACCAGAATATGCTGCGCATCTTTTTATCAATTAGGATTCATTATACTACAATCATACTATGATAATGGTATTAAGAACCAACAAAAGAGCATCTCACATCATGTATCATTTCACACTTGAGATGTTTCTCTTGCTCTTTTGAATTTGTGAGCTCGTTATAGTATGATTGAACACGCACAGTGTCAGTATAATCTGGTCACATACGAAGGTTTTAAGCAGCTTCTTCAGAATCACAGCTACTAATAGTTGGAATCCAACTATCTTTGCACGTGCGCGTGCGCATTTCCATCCTCGTTACTATGCAAAGTCCTATATCTCAAAACGTGGGCGGTCGTACTCTGACACACGGACAGACAGACAGAGAAGAGAGAATCTTTCGAATTATAAGTTAGATATAATGTGTGTATTCACGCCCCACTGACATATCTCATCTTATAACTGCATTATTGTATATTTCCACATTGTACATTTCCTCGCTGTGACGCTTTTGTAGGATTCAATTAATGACGTAAGTCATCGAACAAAGGTTGGTAAATAATTCAAGTAGCTCACAAAGTATCAAGCAGTGACAACAACATCCCCACATCAAAACAATAACAAATTAACGACCTTCTTGCCATTGACGACACAGTGACGACACAGTGACGTCACAGTGACGTCACTACATACCTTTAATCCGGGCACGTGCGCGAAGAACGCTTCGGGTGACTGAGAGTGGTAGAGTGCACCGTGTCCAACTGCGCCCCAGGGTGCGCGCACTGTTAGCCCTCCACAGTTGAACTCGTTACCAGAACGATATCGGTACTTTGCTGCCTCGTTTACGAGCTGAAATAGCACACAATTTGACACAATAGTAAACCATCTCAATTAATATATTATCAGTTACCTGTTACAAGGAATCCTCACTAACCTGTAAACTGCTTATATTAGTAAAAGCTACCGTTATAAAAGGCCGAGTTTGGGGGAAAGGAAACATTATGTACGTATGTTTAGCCATATTTGGGGGAAAGGAAATTCCCCGCGGTATATCGGGTATGGCGGTATATCGGGGTTTTACTGTACATATTGCATGACATACATATCAATATGTACTATAACCTGAACTTATGTTGTGCAGTTGGTACTTTGGTAAATTACTATGGTACATTGGCAAAGGACGGAGACACAAAACCTCAACATAGTTACTACTCACTGGTCATTAGTCATTAACGAAGAATCAGATTTAGGACGTACCATGTAAATTGTAAGTGTGTCTAATAAATAATATTATTATTATTATATAACTTTATTCAAATCAAAAATAGAACATAAAGAACATCTTGATGATAAGTCACCAAGAGAAAAATAACACAGAATAAACTAAATCATGCTTAACTCTCTCCATGCTTTTCTATCTGTTGCAAAAAGTCTTAAATGGTATAAATCGTCTGTATTTACAAGTCTAAAATTTCTGTCACTTAAATCGTTCAAAATAGTTTTTAACAAGTTTGACTGGTGTCGTCCGACTCTACCTCTCATCAAACTCTGACTCTCTACAGCAAAATGTAAGGCAAGCTGGGCAGGTGAGTTATTATCACTGCGGAGGATGTGACCGAGCATTCTCCACCGTGCACGAGCAACACGCTCACTCAGTGGAACAACTTCGCAGCGTTTGTATAGAGTCACATTTCGTATGACATTAGGGTAGGTCATGCCGATGATCGTACGGAGATGATTCCTGTGGCAGACATCAAGTTTTTGAAGGAGTTGTTTAGATGTTGCCCAACTGTTGCAATTATACATCAGTATTGAAACAACTTGTGCTTCATATATCTTGAGTCGAATCTTCAAGGATATACGTCTACCTTGTTCCCAGACTTTTTTGTAGTTCTGAAAAGCAATGTTAGCAAGTATACATCGTCTCTTGACATCTTCGATGCTACACAACTTAGAGCCTAAAGAGATAGATGACCTCCAAGGTTCTCTACCTCTGAGTGTCTCTCCTTTGTTATCAACCTCGTTCTTGCCGGCCAGATAGAAGTGGGTGAACTCGGTTTTTGACTCATTGACAAAAAGATTCCACTCTTCCAATATCTCTTTACATATTGGCAACAAAGACTCCAAATTGCTTTTATCCTCATCAGTAAAATCAACATCATCTGCGTACTCCCACTCGAGGGGTAACATATTCTCAGCTATGGGAGGGTTAGGTCTTAGATAGGACATAACAGCACGCAGGTGGTAAAGTGCTGCTGCCAGATATAGAGTGAACAAGTTTCCAGACAAACTGTCGCCTTGAAAAGCTCCAATCGTGACAATAAACTCTCCCGATATTGTTGAGTTCACTTTGATCTTCAGTTTAGTATTTGCGAGCAAATACCTTACCAGTCGAATGTCGTCCTCACTACAACCAGCATCAGCTAAAATATCAAGTAATACCGACCTCTTTATGGTATCAAAAGCAGAGGACATGTCAATGCCCATCTTATGAAGAGACCAGCGTTTTTCCTTGACAACTGACACTAGTATTCGCTGGGTCCAAACGATATTTGCACAACTATGGCCAGGTTTATAGGCATTCTGCCAAGGACCAGTGTACTGAGATACTTGCCTTTGGATGCGCTTTAAGACTATCATGGACAATATCTTTCTAGTTCCGTTTAGTAGGCAAAGTGGGCGCAAACTCTTAGGGGGGCCTAGTGGCTTTCCAGGTTTTTGGAGCGGAGTAAGGTATCCCTCTGTGAAAGAAGGTACATGTTCATGGAGCTCAAAGGATCGATTAGTAAGTTGTGCAAATGTGGAAAAAAAGATTTCAGGAGAGTGTTTGAGAAATTCGTTTGGGATCCCATCTGTTCCAACAGCTTTACCGTTCTTGAGTTTCTTGGCCGCAAGCTCAACTTCAAACGCTGTAATGGGGTTTTGAAGGGGCCTAGGGTTACCTGTGAACGGTTCTAGTGGTGGTTCACTGTCAGGTCCAGTGTAGTGTTCTTTGAAGTACTGGCGAATGATTTCAGCCTTGTCTCGTTCATTATCTACCAGTTGGTTGTCAGTGTTGAAAACAGACACAGAGCCTGCACCCGTTTTCTGTTTGCCTGATAGTTGACGAGCAGCTTCAAACATTCTCCGTCCTTCGTCTATGGTGGCTATAGAGTCAGCTAGGCTGTTTGCTAACTCAACTCTCAATGTTTTCAACCGTTTAGTAATGTCGTTTGAGAGCCTGTTGATTTTAGCTCTGAGAGCTGTCCTGTCTCTGTATTCGTTGTTGTTCAGTTGTTGTAAAAGTTGTTTCCTTTCTTCAGACATGCCAAAAACTTGACTGTCAGAGGAATGATTCCTCTTTCGCTGTGACTCGCGAAAACCCACAGTGGAAACAGCAGCTTCTTTAACTTCACCAAAAAGCATATCAAATTGCTGTTCCGTGTTGTTGGAGGTAAAGTCAGGATCTGATACAGTTTGCTCAAGTTTCTGACGAAGTTCTTGCTGATATTGTTGTTGAGCTTGTTTGCTTCCAATCAAGGTTGTTGTGTTATAAGTCTTTTGAAATGCTCTGCTCTCCTTGTACAACTTGAAGCGCTGCGAAAAATCTGCCTTGGCAACAACAAGTTTGTGGTCACTGCGGTGCTTTGTACCTGCATATGACCTGGCATCAGTTAGCAGTGCCTTGCTTCTGGACTTGCAGAGTATGAAGTCAATCTGTTGGAAATAAGGTTTACTTTTCCTGGTTGCTCGATCCCGAATCCAACCAGTCCGTGTGGTAATGTGTCTGCTGCTATGGGAGAATGAAGTGTTGGCAGCAAACAGGCCATTAGCAGTGAGAAAGTGTAGCAACCTTTCACCGTTTTCATTCCTCCTCCCAACACCATGTCTACCAATATTCACATGTAAACCATTTTCTACATCAACAGGGCTTCTTTTGCCAAGTTTGGCATTAAAGTCGCCTAACATCCATACTTCAAATCTAGCAGGAACACTGATAGCCTCGAGTAGCTCATCGTAAAATTGGGTTGCTAATCGAGGATTCTGAACTGACTTGGGATTCGTAGGGCTGTAACAATTAACAATTCTGATATGACAAGGTGGTTGATCCACCCTTTTAGCACTTAATTTAAAGTCCATATAAACAACTCTGTCACTGATCTGATGATGAGATACTATACATTCCAAAAAACGCTTGTTAACAATAAACCCAAGTCCACCGTGTCTATCGTGTCTCTGATCAAACAAAAACAATCGATGATGTCCAGGGAGTGTTGTTTCCAAGTATTCACGTGTCTTGGTCTCCTGAAGTGCTAAAATGTCTAAGTTATATCTGTCAATGTCCTCTGCAACGAAGTGTTGCCTGTATGTGGTCGATAGACCGCAAACATTCCATGTCCCAAAATTGAGTGTCGTAGCCATGATGAAAAGAGTAGCGTAGACTAGGAATCCTGCGATCTTCCTCGAGGCGTTAAACGTACTGACTTTAGCAGTCATGCGGACCCGTTACAGTCACACACCATCCTAATAAATAATACCTTATTTAATATTTTCCGGGAATTATTTCCCCGAAAAGTGGTGGATGCTGGTAACCAATAATTTTCCGAAAGGGTTGCCAGAGTATTATGAGGACAGACTGCGAGTCACTTCAGACTGGCTGGCGGGAAGGTTCAAAACAAATAACATGACAGTGGCGCACTATACGTTACACACTATATTGTATCATGCGAACGTATCACATTACACATCTTCCAATCAGAACCGGAAAAAATTATAAAAAATAATACCTTGGCTTAGTTTTGTGCTCGGGCTCGCCCCCCGCTAAAGCGTCGGGCATTATCGCACGTAGCACTCAACAGCCAAGGTATTATTGTATTATAAGTTGTAACTTAGGTTTATTCAAACTGTGACCCACTGCTCACTATGCACTACCTATCTTAATACGAAACAGTACCCTATTACATAGTTATCATCCCGGCATCACTGTTTCTCTCTGCTCAATTCTTAATCTCCAACTCTTTTTCAAACGAGTCATTACCAAATCATTTCAGTCGGGTAATTCCCATGGTTTGGCGCTCAGACAATTTTATCTAATAGTCTGCCATTAAATTTTTCCACTTTTCATGGCACCTGTTTCTGGTTTGAATTTTGATGTGGCCTAATTTGTAGAGTCAAACAAAGGCCACAACACACACTAAAGAACAGTAAAGAACAGTGAAGCGTAAGTGGTAAGGACATTTCTTCGTGTGAAAAGCCTTTCTGTGAGGACAGACAGTGATGCAGCAGTAGAATGCTAATGATGTGTAGTGTTTTCATTATGAATACGAGTAAGAAGCTATAGGAGAACATAACCGGAAATCGGAATCTACAAACACACACACACAGTCACACACACACACAGTGATCACGCACAGCGATCACACAGTCACACACACAGAAATAAGAAATTATTGGTAATTTCAGAAGCCGATATAACAGCACCTCACAAGATAGACCCCTAAACTGAATTCCTGCCTCACAAGATATACCCCTAAACTGTGTTCCTGCCTCACAAGATAGACCCCTAAACTGTGTTCCTGCCTCACAAGATAGACCCCTAAACTGTGTTCCTGCTTCACAAGATAGACCCCTAAACTGTGTTCCTGCCTCACAAGATAGACCCCTAAACTGTGTTCCTGCCTCACAAGATAGACCCCTAAACTGTGTTCCTGCCTCACAAGATAGACCCCTAAACTGTGTTCCTGCCTCACAAGATAGACCCCTAAACTGTGTTCCTGCCTCACAAGATAGACCCCTAAACTGTGTTCCTGCCTCACAAAATAGACCCCTAAACTGTGTTCCTGCCTCACAAGATAGACCCCTAAACTGTGTTCCTGCCTCACAAGATAGACCCCTAAACTGTGTTCCTGCCTCACAAGATAGACCCCTAAACTGTGTTCCTGCCTCACAAAATAGACCCCTAAACTGTGTTCCTGCCTCACAAGATAGACCCCTAAACTGCACTGTGTTCCTGCCTCACAAAATAGACCCCTAAACTGTGTTCCTGCCTCACAAGATAGACCCCTAAACTGTGTTCCTGCCTCACAAGATAGACCCATAAACTGTGCTCCTGCCTCACAAGATAGACCCCTAAACTGTGTTCCTGCCTCACAAGATATACCCCTAAACTGTGTTCCTGCCTCACAAGATAGACCCCTAAACTGTGTTCCTGCCTCACAAGATAGACCCCTAAACTGTGTTCCTGCCTCACAAGATATACCCCTTAACTGTGTTCCTCCCTCACAAGATAGACCACTAAACTGTGTTCCTGCCTCACAAGATATACCCCTTAACTGTGTTCCTCCCTCACAAGATAGACCCCTAAACTGTGTTCCTGCCTCACAAGATAGACCCCTAAACTGTGTTCCTGCCTCACAAGATAGACCCCTAAACTGTGTTCCTGCCTCACAAGATAGACCCCTAAACTGTGTTCCTGCTCAGGACATCCTCTCCTCAGCTTGTCTAACCTAGAGGAGAGGTAGGACAGAAGTAGTGTTATTCAAAACTGCTTAACAGGAGTGTTTACTCCCCTCGTGTGTGTCACTACAACCTGTTACATACCATTTACTAGCTCCCTTCAATACTCCAATACAACTACGCAACCAGCCTGTGAAATTACACTAAACTGCTGTTTCGGGCTTGTCATTCCGCATATTATTACCGACATTTTGTAATATGTTTCAGAGGTACTTTGTAGAACGGGAAGTAGTTTAACGTAGTTTAGCAGTTGATCTCCGGCCCAAATCTCCCTCTAACTTGATTTGCATGTAACCTCTAACTTGACTAACCCCTAACCTGATAACCGCTAACCTGATAACCGCTAACTTGACTAACCGCTAACCTGACTAACCGCTAACCTGACTAACCTCTAACCTCTAACCTGACGTGTACATGGTATAATATAATATAGTGTGATGACCGTTCAAAAGTTCCTCCAGAATAATGAACGCAAATTGCTGCTTAGGCACTGCGATATAATTATAGTTCACATTGTTCGCCAATGGGGTGTGTCTGGGTGTCAAAGATCTTCAAGGTGGGTGCTACTTGTGATGAACTCTAGAAGGATGGGGTGGTAATACTCGGTCTGGCCGTCTGGAAGCCCATAGAATTCCAGTTCAGAAACCGAGTAAGGAGGTGCGGCTACTGATGAGAAGCCTCCTTAAAGTTTATTTGGGTTAGAAATGACATCTGGGTCCCTACCCTCGCACAAGATTATTCTCAATTTTCTTGTTGTGTTCCACAACTATACTTCTGTATACTTCAGTGATTGGGCTGATGACTCCAGTGAAAGGGCTGGTGACTCTAGTGAAAGTGCTGGTGACGATGAGAAAGACCATAAACCAGGGATTCCTTCGGGAGCATGTAAGATTATATCCAAAGTTTGTTCGCCAATGGGGTGTGTCTGGGTGTCAAAGATCTTCAAGGTGGGTGCTACTTGTGATGAACTCTAGAAGGATGGGGTGGTAATACTCGGTCTGGCCGTCTGGAAGCCCATAGAATTCCAGTTCAGAAACCGAGTAAGGAGGTGCGGCTACTGATGAGAAGCCTCCTTAAAGTTTATTTGGGTTAGAAACGACATCTGGGTCCCTACCCTCGCACAAGATTATTCTCAATTTTCTTGTTGTGTTCCACAACTTAACTGTGCTATGATAGAAATTACTCAGATCTTACGGCTTACCTGATCAAAGCCGGGGTAGATATAGTCAGCGAACTGTATCTCAGCAATGGCAGTGGTGCCAGCAGCAGCAACTCCAATACCAAACCCTATGATACCTTGCTCTGTTAACGGTGTGTTGAAAACTCTGTCGGAGCCTGAAAATCAGAATGTTAGCATAATTACTGTGTCCGGACTCACCGGCGTGAGACTACTCAGACTTCTCGATGCAAAAGATTAGGGTTTGGATTACGGTGAGGGTGAGGGTGAGGGTGAGGGTGAGGGTGAGGGTGAGGGTGAGGGTGAGGGTGAGGGTGAGGGTGAGGGTGAGGGTGAGGGTGAGGGTGAGGGTGAGGGTGAGGGTGAGGGTGAGGGTGAGGGTGAGGGTGAGGGTGAGGATACTAGCAGTATCAGCCGGTCACTAGGTTTCTATAAGTAGAATTTTAGCTTTATTGCCTTTTCTCTAAATCGTTATAATAAAATAAGGAAGTAAAGAGAAACAAATACAGATAAAAATAATTATTGTCACGAGATAAGATACGAGAGTCACATTATCCGTCAAGTTTCCTGCTTTTACAGTCTTTTTTGCACTGTCTCTTGTTCAAGACACTAATATGATATGCATTTCCTGCTATAAATTAACCTCCCAAATTTGATTACATTTTGAAGACGTAGGGGTTTCACTTTGAGAAAGATATAGCCTATAGGGGGTTTCACGTGAAGCGATGATAATTGATATCATCCGACAGTTCCCAATCGCCTTTTCCAAGAATTCGGGTGTATTTCCCGCCTTTCCGGTTCGAATTTAATTTCAGTAATTATTGTCACGATAAAAGATAGTACATATTTGCGATACATCATCCGATAGTATCTAAGATACTAAGAGTATAGAGTATGTATTTCCTGCTATAAATTAAATTCCCCAATTTGATAAAGCTTTTAAGATAAAGGTGGTTTCACGTGAAAATGAACTAATTTAGGACTCCATTTTACCCACTTTTATACCCAAATCACATCTCGTGTTTAACACACCAGGATTCGTGTATTATGTAGCCTACAGAGGGCAGATCTCCCCACTTCCGAGCTCAACTCGTCGTGAGAGTAAAGATTCAGCAGAATTACGTAGATTTATCACTTATTACTTTATTAGTGTATTTATATTTCGGGAAGAGAGGGTATTCAGCAATCTCCTCTCCTAACCAGACCTAGAGGGTACACTTGATAGATAATGCCATGGCGGATTGTGCGGCTCTGCAAACTTTTCGATTTCTTTTGCAAAATGCAAAAATTATACGACTAATTGTGAAACTCCGCAACTAAGTGATACCTCTTGGAACAACTATAATACGGTGCTGACTGCTGCTGCCCCAAAGTGCCGAACTTCTAAATTTAGAGCGGGTCCTAACGTGAGAGTACGTCTGGATGTGATTTAGACACGGTAATATTGTGTGTCTAGAATGAGCCTGTATAGACCCAACACTAGGTTTGGTGTGGGTGGTAACTGGTATAACTTTAATACACCACTAATACACCACACTACACCACTAATATACCACACCACGCTATACCACACTATACCACACTACACCACACTACACTACACCACACTATACCACGCTATACCACACTACACCACTAATATACCACACTACACCACACTACACTACACCACACTACGCCAAACTATACTAGTTGCTCTATTGCCTGTATTATAACTAGTATAAAGCACACTGTGTTATAAAATATGAACACAGTTAAAATATAGCTGTGATTTGAGTGTCAGGGAGAATGACGTAACGTTTATCACACGTGTTTTGACACTATTTTGGCAAATGATCACCGTATTATTTAACATATTACTAAGACGTGTATTACATGATTATTATTTTTAAATGTGTACGGGTCGCAGGTTGGCGAATATAGGCCCGTATAAATAAATCAGAGAAACCTACTCGGTATTTAAAGATACTTCTGCAGAAGGTGGCATGAGTCTTACTGGTATTACTGGATAGCTTAAAGAAAGAGAAACCCCGAAAAGAAGGAAGTACTCTGCAGAAATGAGCAGATATCTGCACTCTGCTGCTGCTGCTGTATTTTACTATGGTGTTGTTACCTGAATACCACAGATAGTAGAAATTATCCAAAATGTAGGGCTTCTACTTTATTGGAGTTGTATAAGTTGTAGGAAGGTTAAATAAGCCTATACAATGGTGCATACTGGGTCTGTGACAACCAACAGGAAGCAATGCTGTCTAGGTAACCGGGTTACTATAGCCATGGTTACTGGCATTTATTTGCTTACACCGGTCATATAATTCTGCGGTTTTGAAATTCTTTCTTAAATCAATTTAATTTTAAAATTGTGAAAATAACTAAAATAACTAAATATTTCCTCACATTTATCAGCTCTGAAAGGTGTTTCTTATCTAAGTGTTACAATAGTTACTAAGAGGGATATTCTCAGCTCGTAATAGTTACAAAATAGGTATAATTGCTTCTTGAGTGGCCTTTTTGACAAGGAAACAGTGCTACAGTGACATCAATACATTGTTACTTGTCATATTGAGACATTTGAGAGTACAGCAACTGGCTACAAGTTGTTGGTAACTAGGGTACCAGCAGTTGGTTACTAGGCCTAGGGTACAAGCAGTTTGTTACTAGGGTACCAGCAGTTGGTTACTAGGGTACCAGCAGTTGGTTACTAGACTATCAGCAGTTGAGCAGTTGGTTACTAGGTTACCATCAGTTGGTTACTAGGGCACCAGCAGTTTGATACTAGGGTACCAGCAGTTGGTTACTAGGGTACCAGCAGTTGGTTACTAGGGTACCAGCAGTTGGTTACTAGGGTACCAGCAGTTGGTTACTAGCATACAATTAGTAAATGCTAACTCTATATCCATGAGAACATTACCGTAATACCTGTCGCAGTGTAAACTGTAATGTGGTTACCTTTGCAGTCTTTATGTACGAGTTATAACAACTAAACCGGAATTTCTAACGCTAACCATAACTCTTAACTTGTTGAGCTGATTGAAAACTCTGTTAACGATGTATAACAACTTGACCTGCTTGGTTAAATACCTAATATGACAAAGAGGTCCCTGGAAAAAGATGGTCACAGTAAACAGCATAAAATTGTAACCTTAGATTTACAGGGTTGAATAAGTTTAAACTTATAAAATGTGAATAGTAACTCAGTAGCCTCATTCTCCCAGGTCATATTTAACAAGTACCGAATATCCAGTCTCCACTCTGCTAACACTGCACCCAACAGTGATTAGTAGCCTCATTTTCCCAGGTCATATTTAACAAGTACCGAATATCCAGTCTCCACTCTGCTAACACTGCACCCAACAGTGATTAGTAGCCTCATTTTCCCAGGTCATATTTAAGAAGTACCGAATATCCAGTCTCCATTCTGCTAACACTGCACCCAACACTCAACAGTGATTACCCAGTAATTACCGACAGTGTCTGCTGGCAGGCTGCCAGCCCTGGATGTTTACTAAATAGTAGGATAATTACAATGGAATTCGGTAAAATAACGAGGTGTTTGGAGTGTCTGTAATGCTGTGGAGAAGAAGGGGAGCTAGTTCCAAGGAAGGGAGGGAGGGGAGCTGCTAGTTCCAAGGAGGGGAGGGAGGGGAGCTAGTTCCAAGAAGGGGAGGGGAGCTAGTTCCAAGAAGGGGAGAGAGGGGAGGGGAGCTAGTTCCAAGGAAGGGAGGGAGGGGAGCTGCTAGTTCCAAGAAGGGGAGGGAGGGGAGGGGAGCTAGTTCCAAGAAGGGGAGAGAGGGGAGGGGAGCTAGTTCCAAGGAAGGGAGGGAGGGGAGCTAGTTCCAAGAAGGGGAGGGAGGGGAGGGGAGCTAGTTCCAAGAAGGGGAGAGAGGGGAGGGGAGCTAGTTCCAAGGAAGGGAGGGAGGGGAGCTGCTAGTTCCAAGAAGGGGAGGGAGGGGAGGGGAGCTAGTTCCAAGAAGGGGAGAGAGGGGAGGGGAGCTAGTTCCAAGGAAGGGAGGGAGGGGAGCTAGTTCCAAGGAAGAGAGGGAGGGGAGCTGCTAGTTCCAAGGAGGGGAGGGAGGGGAGCTGCTAGTTCCAAGAAGGGGAGGGAGGGGAGGGGAGCTAGTTCCAAGAAGGGGAGAGAGGGGAGGGGAGCTAGTTCCAAGGAAGGGAGGGAGGGGAGCTAGTTCCAAGAAGGGGAGGGAGGGGAGCTAGTTCCAAGGAGGGGAGGGAGGAGAGCTGCTAGTTCCAAGGAGGGGAGGGAGGGGAGCTAGTTCCAAGAAGGGGAGGGAGGGGAGGGGAGCTAGTTCCAAGAAGGGGAGAGAGGGGAGGGGAGCTAGTTCCAAGGAAGGGAGGGAGGGGAGCTGCTAGTTCCAAGGAGGGGAGGGAGGGGAGCTGCTAGTTCCAAGAAGGGGAGGGAGGGGAGGGGAGCTAGTTCCAAGAAGGGGAGAGAGGGGAGGGGAGCTAGTTCCAAGGAAGGGAGGGAGGGGAGCTGCTAGTTCCAAGAAGGGGAGGGAGGGGAGGGGAGCTAGTTCCAAGAAGGGGAGAGAGGGGAGGGGAGCTAGTTCCAAGGAAGGGAGGGAGGGGAGCTAGTTCCAAGGAAGAGAGGGAGGGGAGCTGCTAGTTCCAAGGAGGGGAGGGAGGGGAGCTGCTAGTTCCAAGAAGGGGAGGGAGGGGAGGGGAGCTAGTTCCAAGAAGGGGAGAGAGGGGAGGGGAGCTAGTTCCAAGGAAGGGAGGGAGGGGAGCTAGTTCCAAGAAGGGGAGGGAGGGGAGCTAGTTCCAAGGAGGGGAGGGAGGAGAGCTGCTAGTTCCAAGGAGGGGAGGGAGGGGAGCTAGTTCCAAGAAGGGAGGGAGGGGAGGGGAGCTAGTTCCAAGAAGGGGAGAGAGGGGAGGGGAGCTAGTTCCAAGGAAGGGAGGGAGGGGAGCTGCTAGTTCCAAGGAGGGGAGGGAGGGGAGCTGCTAGTTCCAAGAAGGGGAGGGAGGGGAGGGGAGCTAGTTCCAAGAAGGGGAGAGAGGGGAGGGGAGCTAGTTCCAAGGAAGGGAGGGAGGGGAGCTGCTAGTTCCAAGAAGGGGAGGGAGGGGAGGGGAGCTAGTTCCAAGAAGGGGAGAGAGGGGAGGGGAGCTAGTTCCAAGGAAGGGAGGGAGGGGAGCTAGTTCCAAGAAG